ATAACCATATTATCCTGTAATTGATATTACTATGTTTACATATCAATGAAATTAGTCATGACAGAGTAACAGACACAATAAACAAGACAAGTGGGGGTTAATACACAAGACAAAATGACAAAATAAGTGACGACAGAAGACAAGACTGGGACAAAATCAACCTTAAAAAAAAAAAAGAATGCGCAATTATATTATCAAAACTATTTGGATCAGCACAAAAACAACAGTGACCAAACGGGCACCATAGCCTAGGAACGTCTGTGTGTTGATTTAAAATAGAGGCTCATAGAAGCAAAATTTATCAATAAAAGGGGTCCAGTGTAGAGTTTAAGCAAGTTGCTGCCACTGGATCACTACAAAAAAAAAAAAAAAAAAGTTTAAGAGAAGGGGAATTATTCTAAAAAAAGTTCTTGAGATCATTCTGAAGAAATTCTGCGAAAAGTTCATAGCAAACTATCAAAGTTATCTACCTAGATATATCAAATATTTAAAGATTTCGAACGCAGAATCAAATGCAAGATCATAAAAAGATGGGAATTACTATTTGCTAGTCATCATGTATAACGTAAGCAAAAGTAAATTATTCAAATCACTTCAAATGCTCTTCACAGGAGATTCCGTTGTGAGATTCGATTAAATTAGAGGAATTTATGACATTTGATTTTAAGTTCCATGACATAAAAAGTTTATTTCAAAATCAAACGTGTCACTACTATTATATCGCATCAGCACTACCAGCTCTGCTCAATAGCCGACTATCGAAGAAAATCTTCATTTTGTTTAGTGATCATACGTTTTAAGAGTCATGAATGATGGAGAGCTTGGGATTAAACCTATGATTTTCTGTTCGGTAAGCGAAAACGATCCCTCCAGGGTCATCGAGCATCTCAGAACCATAACGTTTCGCGACTACGTTTTCGCCTGGTACGACTGAAATACGCGATAATGCAAATAGTATCCGAGGTTGATGGTTAATCTTAAATATACAAATTATGATGGCGATTTGTTGTGCTGTGGAAGAGCTTGGAGTTTAATCCATAATTTTCTGCTCAGTAAGCAAAAACGATCCCTCCGGGGTCATCGAGCATCTCACAATTCACGACTAAGTTCTATTTTGGTATGTAACGAACGATTAAGATAAGCGATAATTCATGTATTTTCTACGATTGATGGTTAATTTAAAAAAAAATACGAATTGTACTGCCAACGAAGACGGTAATAGCAACAATCAATACGAAACTAACGATTTTAAATTGGCTCACTACTTGACTAGCCTATTGGTCCCAAGCAAACGATTAACGTATCCCATTCTAGTCGAAATGCTAGTACTAAGCAATGTTTGTTTTGATTCGCTATGAAAGTTTGACAGATAAAATGAGGGGTTATTGGTTTTTCCTATGTTTCGAGGGGTGAATCGATTAGCTTGGGACCGAAGATAGTACCAGAGCTGAGCCAAAAACTTGAGCACGTTATTTCGGGACCTTCTAGTCTTAGAGTTACCTCTATGGTAATAACGAATTTGTTGCTTACCTTTTGCCTAGGATAAAAACACCTTGGCACCTCCACTGGATCCTCATGTGCAGCTAGTTCCAATTGTTGTTCTTTGTTTTGCGCTAAAAGCCTTTGCCATAAAAGCAGTTCGCAATCTTTCTCTGTTGGTTTCTGTCCTTCGTGGTGGACGCTCCGGTTGGCTAAGTATTTCCTCTAACGCCGTGGCTTAGAGATGAACTAGCCTAAGGCTAAAAATCTCTTAAATAAAGAATTTAAAAAAAAAAAATCTAACGCCGTGCTACAAACCGGTTCAAACTAACGATTTTTAATTGGCTCACTACTTGATTAGCCTATTGGTCCCATTCTACTCGAAATTCTAGTACTACACTATGTTTGTTTTGATTCGCTACACGCTATTTCAAAACTATCCAAATTTGGGTAGAATCCACCCAGATCCGTTAAAACTGAACCTACCCAAAAATGGGTAAACTGTGTTGAGAGTGACAAGTTGACAAATAAACAACGTCGATCGGATTCATGTCAATGTTGTTCATTTGTCAACTTGTCACTCCCAACACAGTTTATCCAACCGGTGGAAACTAACGATTTTTAATTGGCTCACTACTTGACTAGCCTATTGGTCCCCAGCAAATCGATTAACGTACTCCATTCAAGTCGAAATTCTAGTACTACACAATGTTTGTTTTGATTCGCTATGAAAGTTTGACAGATAAAATGAGGGGTTAGTGGATTTTCCTATGTTTCGAGGGGTGAATCGATTAGCTTGGGACCGAAGAGAGTACCGGAGTTGAGCACGTTTCTTCGGGACCTACTAGTCTTAGAGTTGCTTCTATGGTTTATCCATTGTTGGGTAGGTTCAGTTTTGACCGATCTGGTTGGATTTTACCCTAATTTGGGTAGTTTTTAAATAGCGTGTATGAAAGTTTGACAGATAAAATGAGGGGTTCGTGAATTTTCCTATGTTTCGAGGGGTGCATCGATTAGCTTGGGATCGAAGAGAGTACCAGAGCTGTGCCAAAAAATTGAGCACGTTTCATCAGGACCTTCTGATCTTAGAGTTACCTCTATGGTGCTACGGTTATCGTGCCAGTGTTCGCACCGCACCTCCTCACTTTGCTATTGTCGGATTGACAACATTACCCAGGCTAACGCCACCCAGCTGTGTCCATGTTTCAGCTAGTAGTCGTTTGTAATAATGACTCGTGGAGGCGTGAGGTAGGGACTTGTGAGGACCGGAAGACCCCGCTCCTTCCAGGTTGTCAACTCACCATTTTGTAGCCCAACCCAACTACGTACGATACAAGAAGGAGGTGGTTAAAAGTTGGTGCGTCATCAAACGTAAACAACGTAAACGTTGACGTTTCATAGCATCACTAACTTTGGTCCTCTCCTCTTTGTAGCATATTTTTCTACAATGCTGGTCACCCTAATTCCAGAAAATTTAAAGGTGTTCACGAGAATTCCATTTATTTTAAAGCAGAACCGAGATCTTCATTGGAATTGAGAGCTTTAGGAAAGCTCAGAGATCATCAAGACAGATCATATAATTAAACGGCAATTAAAAAAAATCAAGGAAATTGGAGAAACCTTTAAGAAGTCTCAAGAAAATCTCCGGGAATTTCCGGAACTTCGCTTTGCTCAGAGAAAATTTCTGGATAGCAATAAAAATTATACGAACGTCCGCAAAACGTGAGAGTATTTCAAGGACTTAGTTCATGCAAATGTATCTGTAGGATTCCATCACAGGAGTGGAACTTCGAATCAGAAAGTGGCTCCACTGGTCATTTGCGAACACTAGCGCACCTAGCGGTAGAAGGCATCTTCGGCCTGCAGTTAAGAGAGCATCAGGCTAGTTCCTCTAGCTACTAAAGAACTTCAAGGCAGTTTCATTAACTTCAGGAATATTTTGGGAACTTTCAAGCTGTTCTGAAGACCTCAGAATAGTCCATTACATATTCAACGGAGATTTCTCATGAAAATTCGCTTGAAGTTCTCGTAATAGCTCGTATTCTTCCGAAACTCTCATGGAGTTATTTCAGAAATTCACTTGGACCGCTTCTCTGAATTCTGTAAAATTATATCACGAGAATATAGTTAGAATACTTCACTTCATACTTCAATTGAAATATTCCTAAAAAGGTTGTGAAACTATCCTCCGTTATTCAATTTTCTTTTAATTTTCCTAGGAATTACCTTGAAATTCTCCTCAGTAAGAAATCTTATGGAAAGATTCTCAGATTTTTCATTGAATTTATTTCCTTTAGAATTCTACTCACATGGAAAGTCTCCCTAAGAATTCATTTTGTTCGGAAATCTTTCCTGGAAATAATTACCGAATTTCTTTGAAAATCTTCTGGAGTTATTCTCAGATTTAATTGTAATCCTCTTTTTAGCATCCCCCTCACCACCCAAGTATTCACAAAAAAATACGAGGATTTATGCTCCGATTACGTCGTCTTTCACAACCTTCATGTAATTGTCCTCAGAATGCCCTTGGAATTTTCCTCTGAAGTTCCTATGAATTTTCATTTAAAATTACTTTGAATTCAATTCCGGGTTTTCTTGAAATTCTATTCAAAACTATCTCAGGCTTGACATGAAATCTTCATTCTTTAGAACTATCATGAGAGCAGATTGCACTTGATATTTTTCTCTTAAAGGGGTTATAAAGTTCAATGTGTGAATTAAAATAACTAGGAATATTAAATGTTTTTATTTTAAAATGCATTCTTTTCTTTGGAATATCTTTAATTTTCGGTTTTTCAGGTTTAGTCATAAACTTTCTATTGAATCTTTCGCTTTAAAGGTTCCTATCGTACATATTTAAGTGTTTATGAGATTCTAATTGAATGAGTCTAAAACATCATACATTTAATTGGTATGCCATCAAAACGCCTAATTTTCTTCCCTTAGGTCACTTTTAGTCACTTTTTTACAACTAAAAGTCAGTATTTGGTCACTTATTGCTTCAACATGGTCACTAAAATCACTGTTTTTGACAGCATTGATCGCTACCAGCCCTGCATACGGTACATTTAAACTCAGTTTTGAGTAAAACCACTTTCTAAGAACATTAGTGAACTCTTTATTTATTTATTTTTTTCAACGATCTTAAATAAATACAAAGTCGGAAAGAGTCGTAAATCACGTAGGAAAACCATAAAATACACTCAATGTTCAAAGGCGTCAGTAGAAACTTAGCAAGGAGAGGATCAGCACAGTTCAAAATCATAATAGGCCCAAAATTTATTTATGTTTTTGTTAAGGCGAGAGATCATTGTATCACAACATCCTAAGTCTGCGAGTCATGTGATGTGACTTGCAGATTGAAAAGATAGATAGGGCAAACGGTCCTATTATTGCGATACGTTACAAGCTTTAGAAGCCTATTGTTATGTGTGGAGGTTCTAACGTAGCAATAAGACTGTTTCCCTTATGGTTCTGAGAAATGATTAAACTAATTAGCTTTCCTAATCTTTTAACCGTAGGTTTACGGTGCCACCACGACAACAACAGTTCAACATCAGCAGCAACAGCAACAACATCATCAACAGCAACAGCAGCAAAACACAATGCAGATGAACGCAGTGCGTAAGATCAACAGCCTCCTGCAGAGTGGAGCCGTCAGCGTGACCGGTATACCCGGCAATCAGCCCAGGATGATACAGAAGAAGCCCATCAACAATCAGACGAGCGTTTCGATCACGACCACCAACAGCTACGTTTCGAAGCAGCAAAAATGCTACGTTTGCGGCGACAATGCCGGAATCAACGCGACACTGCTGACCGAAGCATCGACTACCACCTCCCAAACCGAATTCACGTCCAAGATAGCGAAGATCGTGGGCGAGGGTTACATGGTCATCATCGGCACAGACGATGTCGTGTGCAGGCGGTGTATCACACTGTTCAATCAGATGGATAAACTTGAAACAGATCTGGAGCACGTACGAAATACGCTTACGAATTATATTCACAGAAAATATAACATACTGGACGACGATCCGGGCATTACGCCGCCCCCTGCCAAGATCCAGAAGCTCGGAAGTACTAATACGACATTGTCGACGTACAGTATAAAATCCCTAAACGACTCCGGGCAGGACACGAACGAGCTATCACGAAAAACGAACACATCCGTCATGTCGGAGTTGAACAACAGCTCAATGGACATCGAAAAACAGATGTTCGACATGTTCGACAAACCACAACAGCAGATTGTAACGCAACAGATGCAACCACAGCAGCAGCAGCAGCAACAGCAACTGCAGACGACCAACAATGGAGCGAATATAGTCAGTAGTACGGCTCAACCTGCGCCGACGACGACGATCCGTCGGAATCCAATCAAAATGTACAAGTGCATGTCCTGTGATTTTAAAACGCAGGACCTTACTCAATTCCAGCCCCACTATGAGCAGTGTAAAGCAAATACTAGCCAGCAGCTAGCGACACCAACTGCCACGGCCACAACGACCACCTCGTCGGCGTACCGTTGCAAGCTGTGTAAGAAGATCTTCGCTTCCGTTGCACTCCTAAAGCAGCACAACGCACAGGAGCACCAACACCCTGCCCAGCAACCGACCGAAATCAAGATCATAGACCAGCAGGGCCCGGGAACGACGATAACGCAACTTTACGCCTGTAATATGTGCACTTACAAGACGCCCGACAAACAAAACTACGACGATCATCTTCGCAAGCACATCAAACTGAAGCCATTCAAGTGTCGTGTCTGCTTAATGCGATTCGAAACGCGCGAACAGGCCTCGATACATGCGAAAAATCATCAACCGGATTACTTCAAGTGTGGCATATGCAACGTCACGTTCAACAAGCGTGAACTGTTGATGAAACATTTGGAAACCCACGAAAATGTCAAGAAGCATCCCACGGTACAGAAACATACGACACTTGCTGCGGCACAACAGCATCACCACCAGCAGCAGCAACAGCAACAACAACAACAGCAACAACAACAGCAAATCATACACCAACAGCCTCCACAGTCGCAGATACACATCAAGAGTGAGGTCCCTGTGGTCAATCAGGTCGCCGATTCGTCGACACAGAAACTGCTGCAGGCCACGATCGACGAAGCGCTTCGGGATACGATCGGTGAAACGATCGACGCCAAATCGATCCAATTCCACTCGTGTAACACCTGCTCCCTGACATTCCTCAACGAGAAACTATACAGTCAACACATGAAGATGCATACCGGTCAGGGTGGCGGAGGAGCTCAGACACCGATTACGAGTAGTCAGACGATGGGCAGCGTGTCCCATACCACCAGTAAAAAGATGGTCCATCAGAATGCGGCTACGCTCAACAACGGCGGCCAGGAGCTACACGGAAAGCTGCTCGCACCGGGTGCTTCTTCGGCAAGCGGTGGCCTCACCACCAGCCATAGCAACACCATCTCCGACGGCGATCTCGAAAGTATATTCGAGAAAATTCACTCGGACAAGAACGATATGAACCCCGGTGATAATCTGGTCATCACTAGCCAGGACAATGCTAGTGGTAACATCACGTACAGCATTACGTTGGCGCAACAGGGCCAGGAGGGAACGACCACATCGGGCCAGACGTATGTGCAGCAACAACAGCAGTCGCAACAGTCACAGCAGCAGGAGAGTGCCGATAACAAGATGGTGAGTGTTTCGACATTTTAATATTTTATCTGCTATTCTTTATTTTAAGCAACCCCGTTACTCATCTCTGTGGGATGTTAACCCCCATTTGGATTATTTTGGAAAAATCTGGCACAGCAAATTAACATAGGGAATCTGCCAGATTTCTTTAAAAATCTGTCTGGCAGAGTGTCCAATACGGTGACCGAAACCAAATAACTCCCATCTCCCGATCTGGTCATGGCTTGACCTATGGTCGCCTAGCCCAAATCTCCCTCTTGCGCTGTGCAGAAGTCTACCTACGATCGGCTACCATCAGTGATTCGAACAGTTGCACTCTCTCGGGTCCTGCCACTATCGATCTCAGCAGAGACCGTATGCGAAGATGATGGCGATCTCTTCTATCCCCTACATCGTATGGACATCTCATCTGCCGCTCTCGCTGTTGGCCCCTGTTGGTGATGCTGGTGGTCTTGTTGGCGATGCTGTAAATAGCCGTGGTTTGTTTCCTCGTTCTTGGTATTGTTTCCCTCCAGGGTTGTAGTTTCTGGGTGGTTGAGTCCCAAACATCCTCACCCACCCAGAAATTCGCAAAATTTCTGAAAAGAAAATAAGAAACCCTCTTCGACGGGATGGGAGTTTGGAAAAGGTATAGGATCTAGTTTAACGGCAACATTGAATCGGATTCATTTTCATCGTGGCTGTTTTGAAGTGTCAAAATGCAAATTTCCTCCACCGGACTTTTAAGTTCTCCAGTGGCAGTCTTCAAAAGTTACAACTCTTACTACGGTAGCTGCTCCCGGGTGTACAGCGACGATTCTTCTGACGACGAGCTTGTCTACCTCCACATGAACTGCTGGTTTCCATCGCTTGGTCCTAGCTTGCAGTTGACTCAGGTATTCGCGGCGCCACCTAATCCAGAAATGCTGTAGTCTTTGTTGTATCAACTGGTATTGTGGTCGCACAAGGGTGGCAACACCCATCCCCCTGTGGACGACGAGGGAAGAAAGAATAGTTCCAGCATCGGGACGGACAAGGGAAATTCAGCTCATTCCCCGAAGGACTTCGCGGGAACAATGAAAGTCGCAGCATCTCTGGAAGATGCAAGCAACAGCAAAGTGCTGTCAAATAACACCAATTCTCCCTCCGTTGGGACATCCCTGCCCTGGGTGGGTAGAACGCCTCCACCTGCCCTTGGTGGGGCTCTATCTCATTCGGTATACGTAACCGATTCCTCAACCGACTTAACCGACCACGATTCCTCCAGTATCTTCAATATAGATCAACCTGATGACCACAGCGGTAGTCTGCACCGCAGCCACACCGGGTTCACCGTATCGAACAGCCCGTACCCCACACCGGCCTTGCCCAAGTCGGCCAACTTTATACTCCAATGGAACGTTAACGGCTTCCTGCAGCGGATTGGAGACCTCGAGCTTCTCTGCCAAGCTGATCCCCCCTGGATCATCGCATTGCAGGAGGTAAACAAAGCCTCCGTCGAACAGATGAATCGTTCCCTCGGCGTAAGATACAGCTAGACAAAGAAAAGCGGTAGAAATTTCCGACACTCTGTAGCCATTGGGGTACTAAACATGGTACCTTTCCGGGTTATCGACTTGGACTCTCAATTACCCATACTCGGGGATCAACTTACAGAACCAGTCAACATCACCGTTGCCTGCGTTTATTTGCCATGTGGACGAATCGGCAACCTCAACTGTCAACTCAACGAGACCCTAATGAAATTACCTGAACCACGCATCCTAGTTGGGGACGTCAACGCGCACCACTCAAATTGGGGTTGCTATCGGTCGGATCTTCGTGGCAAGGACCTCGTGGACATATTCGAGAAGGAAGATATGGTAATCTTGAACGATGGTGCTCCAACGTATTTCAACGGGAGATACACATCCGCTATCGACGTGACAGCCGCCAGTCGCCACATCGCTGGTAAAACGCAGTGGAACGTAAACTCAGACCTGTACGGTAGTGACCACTACCCCATACAAATTCAACTCTCGGCGACCTTCGTCCCGGCGGTAACACGGAGGCCGCGATGGCGGTATGAACAAGCGGACTGGGAAAGCTACGGTGCCACTGTGGAGACTCTACTACCACAGCGGAACCCGGGCAGTATCGAGGTCCTCTCGGACGCCATATACGAAGCAGCAATGGCCACCATCCCCAAGACCAGCAGCGTACCGGGGAGAAAAGCGCTCCACTGGTGGAATGAAGATACGAAGAAGATAGTCAAAGCCCGGCGCAAGGCACTTCGACGTGTAAAGCGGCTCCCCATCGGACACCACGACAGAGAGGAGGCCCTTTTATCACTACCGTGAACTACAACTGAACTGAACAACCAATGCCGACAAGAAATCCGTGATGCCAAGCGATCCAGCTGGATGGAGTTCCTGGAAGGGATGAACGCATCGCAATCCTCGCCGATTTCTGGCAGCGAATCAACGCCCTTAGTGGGAAACGACGCACGACACCACTTCACGTCCAGGTTAATGGTTTCCGATCCGGAAACGGTAGCTGGTGAACTCGGTTTCTACTTCGCCGAGCTCGCAACCATTGACAAGTATGACAACAAGTTCATGCAGAAAACCAAGCCATCGACCGCATCCGTCGCAGACTTCATAGTACCCCCCGACACCGCCAGTACCGGTATAAACCAAGCTTCCTCTTGGCAAGAACTGCAGCATGCCCTTCGCTGCAGCAACGGGAAGTCGGCGGGACCCAACGAAATCGGATATCATCTACTCAAAAGGCTACCGGTACCAGGACAGCTACGGATGCTAGACCTTTTCAACAAGCTCTGGCTCACTAACGGGTACCCAGCAGTATGAAAGGAAAGCTTAGTAGTTCCCATCCCGAAAGCCGGGGTAGCCACCCGTGAAGTCAGCAAGTTCCGTCCAATAGCGCTAACATGTTGTATGGCCAAAGTCCTAGAGCGTATGGTCAATCGAAGACTGAAGCAACATCTCAAAACTGGAAATTTCCTTGATCACCGACAGCACGCTTTCCGACAAGGTTTCGGAACGTCCACCTATTTCGGGGAAGTTCTCAAGAACGCCTACGACAGTGGTCTGCACACCGAGATAGTGTCGCTCGACATATCGAAGGCCTTCAACAGAACGTGGACGCCCTTCGTCCTTAAGCAACTAATCGACTGGGGTCTTAACGGACCCATCGTTCACTTCATCCAGAACTTCTTGTCCAACCGCTCATTCCGAGTCGCAGTCGGCAACACCAAATCCCGGCTTTTCCCCGAGGAAACGGGTGTCCCACAAAGATCGGTTATCGCCGTTACCTTGTTCCTCGTGGCGATGAACGGAGTCTTCCGTCAACTACCGAAGAACATATGTGTGTTCGTCTACGCCGACGACATCCTCATCGTCACCACCGGACCCGAGCCAGTACGTACAAGAATGAGAGCCCAAACGTTAGTTTCCGCCGTCGCCAGGTGGGCCCACTCAGTAGGCTTTGAATTATCAGCCTCTAAAAGCATCAGGTGCCATGTCTGCCCTTCGCGACACAGAATTAGCGAACCACCGATCAAAATCGACGACCAGTCTGAAGAAGACCGTCCGAGTTTTGGGAGTTCTCGTTGACCGATTCCTCAACTTTGAACAGCATTTCAGTGCAGTCAAGAAAAATTGCCGCAGCCGAGTGTATCTCATCCGGACCATTTCCCGACAGAATAGATCGAACAACCGCAGCATCCGTTTTCACGTGGCGAGTGCAATTATCGACAGTCGCCTTCTATACGGTTTGGAGAAGACCTGCATCGCAACGGATAACTTTTAGGGACGAGGAAAAAAAGGACAGAACAGTTGAACCAGCGGGATCAGAAGATTGCGTCGCGTTTGAGAACCGGTCACACCAAGATCTCGCACAATTTCCAGCTTCAATCGAGCACATGCTATGCGTATGCCCTCAGTATCAGATCCTGCGGGAATTCCGAGGGCTTCCAAATAGCATACGCGACATGCTGGGTGATGATCCTTCGACACTGGCAGCAGTAATGCGTTTTTTAAAGGATGCTGCATTGTATTTTAAAGTTTAGTCTTTTTTAATTCCTTTCGGCTGTTGCGACATCTCTGCCTAGTGGGGGCCCTCCTGGTTCCCCCGGTGTGGAGCTCTGTCTTATTCAGATTTTAATGTTGTGTCTTTAATATGCTGTGTAAATGTACGATCGAGCCAGGAACAAATTTTCGGTTGAAGTAAACACTGTAAAAACTACTCTGTTGGCGGTCCTCCTTCTGAGGCCCCACCTTTCATGGACGAGATGAACTAGCCTACGGCTGAAAATCTCAAAAATAAAGTAAAAAAAAAGTCTTACTACGGTACCTGCTCCCGGGTGTACAGCGACGATTCTTCCCATTTTCCAACGCATAGGCGGAAGGTTATCATCCTTAATGACGACAAGCTTGCCTACCTCCACATGAACTGCTGGTTTCCATCGCTTGGTCCTAGCTTGCAGTTGACTCAGGTATTCGCGGCGCCACCTAATCCAGAAATGCTGTAGTCTTTATTGTATCAACTGGTTTTCAGCAAGGTTGCAAATACTCATTTCAGCTAAAATAATTTTTTTCGGAATAATAAAACCAAAATATGGTATGATGATATGTTTTACTTGTAACTCACAAGAAGAGGTTACAAAGTATGCGTTTAAAATATAAAACCTGTAAATTTTACATTCAATGAGTCACAATCAGCGATTTTCTGATCGCTGAGTGAGCGAGTGAGTGAGCTAGTGAGTTTGTGAAAAATCGCTGATTGTGACTCTCATGAAGTGAAATGAACAGGTTTAATATGTCAAACACATTCTTTGCAACCTCTTCTTGTATCTTACCTATTCAAAATATGATCATAGCATCTAATTATATCATAATTTAAAAAAAAAAACATTGTTTTAGCTGAAATGAGTATTTGCAACCTTGGTTTTCAGCCGATTCGGTGTGATGTTCATGAGTTCAGGATCGGGGAGGGCCTGCAGCTGGTAACAAAGGTTCCAA